TATATTATATGTGTGTGTGTGTTAGTGTGTGTGTGTGTGTGTGTGTGTGTATATATATATATATATATATCCATATAGAATCATCAGGCTTATAAACGTGTTAATGTTTTAGCCGTTTTGATCCAAATCACAATCGCTCGCCATTCTCACGAAATAAAAATTTCAAAAAGAACGGTTTCAACATAATACACAGTGAATAGAGATACATATGTCACTGTAGACAGGATAAACTAAGAATTGGGTTAGGCACAGCTCACAGAACGGCCTGTTGTGAACAACGATTCGTATCGAACGCCATTCTACTGCGCGTATAACACTGCACTACCACATAGTCTAACAACGCGGATCAAAGCTTGCACACGACCAAAAGACGTCAATTGGGAATAAGTATTAGAAGAAAAACTCTCAAATGTAGAATATTGCGCACATGAATAAAAATACTAACAATACGAGCGCGAGTACAAAATCTTGTCGAAAGTAAGTACACATATGTATAACAGATACAAATACGAACAAACGAATAACTATATACCGGATTCCAAGGACTGAGGTGTCGTTTGTTCTCCAGCAACTCTTCAGGACATTCCGGATCGTCCTGATTTTCTTGTGTCCCCAATTCCCATTTGAACGCCGAGCGAGGTCTGTCGGGCAACAGCACATCGACCTGATTGCGCGGCTGATTCGTTAACACCATACCAACTGTTTTGTAAATATAAGTGTGGTTTAATCTAGACTTTTGTTTGCTTGGTCCTATACCGGTTCACATACCCCTTGAGTGCGAATATAACTTTAAAATGGTAAATTCACGGACCTCCGGGCTAATTGTATGTTCAATCATGGAATATCTCATATCTGATATCTGCGAGTCTTGGCAATCTATTCTCATGTATATAGCCTGTCAGCCCTGATTGCGATGGAATCTGTCAGATTAAAGAGTATATAATAGAGTACATTGGGAAGGTCCGACTACTGAGCTACTCTCTGAAAATACCCTACAAACCTAACAATCTCGCACCCAATGAATATTGCTAATAGAACGCTATATATAGAATTATTTGCCGCGCAGTCGCACTGTCGCAAAAAGAATATGTAGAGAGAATCCATAGTCTACCATAGAGCCTATGAGCATAGCCCTCTAAACAATACACTTTGAGTGAATTAAGAAGGCCAAAGAGAATCATTAAAAAAAGAGGGGGGGGGGGTTCCTAGGAGAAATTGGAAATATCATAAAATACATATTTATGTACAATTGTACTAAATGTACATAAATACCTAAAATTTAAAACCCTTATTCCAGGCCTCCTAAAAATTCTCTTTGGTGAGGAGTCTGAGGACTGAGGACTTAGGAGGACTGAGGAGACTGGGTCACTGGGACTGGGGGGGGGGCCTGGTGGGGAGTCTGGGCTCCTCACTCCCCAGACTGAGGACTGAGGAGGACTCGAGGAGTGAGGAGTGAGGACTCTCTCTCTCTCTCTCATACTGTCATACATACTCTCTCTCGGTCTCCCCACCTGATGAAAGAGTAGAGAGAAAGAGTGAGTGGTGACTGGTCAGTGGAGTTGGTCACTGGAGAGTGGAGACTGGTGACCGGAGACTCTCGCGGTGAGTACATATGGAAATATCGTATATCATGACCCTCGCGGCTTCGAGCTTCGGGCTTCGGGTTCTCTCTCTCATAGAAAAATCCTAAACCCTAAAACTCAGTTTTTAAATAGAGAGTAGAGAAGAAGTAGAAAGTTAAAAATAGAATCATCGAAATATGAATGAACGGACTAATAGTAATCAGTAATCACTACATGACGCCCGAAGATGAAATATAAACATATTTGATGTGTAGGGTTTTTAGGGTCGATTTTACGTGAACCAATTTTTTTGATTACATAAATAAATATGAGTACGAAGTTTGTGTTTATCTGCAGTACATCGTACTAATTCATGCCATACCATAGCAAACACTTTGAGGGTTGACCATAGAGCTGCGAGAATGTCCGGCGTGAACTATTTTGAGAAGCTCTCCGATGAGATAGTGGTGCTTGTGATGTCCCATTGCGAGTATGACGATTTAGTATGTTGTGAAAGTCGAGTTTAAGCAGTGTATATCTGTGTATACGTTTAGTGGAGTTTATATTGGTCAACGCAAATAGAAAAAAAGATGGTCGTAGTGTCACACACAAGCTTGTAATCACATCCTGGGATTCTTTTGAGGCTCGTTAGTTGAACACACTTTCTTTGGAGGGTATTGAATTTCAATGGAAGTATGCTTCAAACCAATGTGTACTTATGTATCGGATATGCAGGTTTGGAAATCACAAACGCACACACATACCGTGTGATATATTTTCTATATGAATGAGCATCCATTCCTAAAATACACCCTAACAAGCAGATTGAGATGCGAGGTGACATTGACTATTACTAACGTACTGAATGTGCTAGTATCACTCATTAATTGTGTGCAGTTGTGCAATACTATAAACAGCCTGGAAATGTGGTGTATATAACAGTACCACTGTTTGTTTCTTATCGAAACCCTAATATATATATATATATATATATATATATATATATATATATATATAGTAGTAGTACGTACGACCGAACGACGAACGAACGGAAGGGTAAGTAGGAG